ATGCATCAAAATACAGGATTTTTGGTGCCACATGTCTGCCAAAGAGATTTGCATGCCAGTAGCCTTGAGGCAACTCCCAACTAATTTCACATGAATTTCACTACTGCATGGTGACATAATCATGCAACAAAGTCCTCAACCAATAGGAGGGTGACACACCTCCATGCACAAAAACACCCCCTATGTATTTGCACCTATGTAAGCTTCATTGTTTGACAAGGCAAAAAAGAAAGTGTGCATCAGAGGTGGGGCAGATGGGTGGGAATGTGTAAGGAGGTATCTACTGGAAATACATTTTCAGATAAGGAAAATGCTAAGTTTTGAGGTGATACCTCACCTCTCACACAGAATTAGCTAGAATCTCATGTTGCATTGGCAGAGGGTTCAGTGCAAATTTTACCTAGATGAGCTTTCTTCAGAAAGCGCCTGAAGGAAACCTATGGGGTGTGATACCTGATGGCAGGGGCTCTATAAGAGCACACGTGTGGGAGACAGCACCTTATCTCATTCAGGGTATACCCTTCATCCGTATAGGAAAATGGGAGAGGCAAAGAAGCCAAATCTGATCATAGGAACAGGCAGAACATGAATATGACCTTCTGAGTACTTGCACACAAGTTGTCAGACAGCCAACACGTGTAGTGTGGTTAGGGTGCATTCAGACCATACCTTGTGTGCACACCTCAACTCTTCCATCACACTCTATGGAACAGACTCCATCTGTGGGAGGAGGGCACATGTAATAAGTATCCATGTTTTCCCCTCAACTCTACTTTCAGACTCTATGGGACAACCTCCAGCTCTGGGAGGAAGGCACCTTTTTTCTTTATGTAATATGGATGCTTGCGCATGCCTCAACTTTACTATCAGAATCTATGGGACAGACTTGAGCTGTGGAAAAAGGGCACATTAGTCAAGCCATTTGGTTCTGTATAGATCGTGTTCACCTTAATTCCACTATCAGACTCTAGAGGAAGGCACTATAGTTATGTAGCATTATTGTTCTATATGTAATACATGCACACCTCAACTCTACTGAACAGATTCAGGCTACAGGAGAAGGGAACAAGTGGCATGAGTGAAGTATGTTTTACATCAGGGGTGATCTGCACTACACTAACAGTGTCACCCCCTTCTCCAACAGGATACAGGAACCGATCTGGGTATGAATGGTTCAATATGTGAGAAACAAAAGGAAGACAGAAGAGAAGTACTGTATTGGTACTTCTTTGTCTAGCCTCAGCATTTATGTCCAACCAGTGAGGGTTTCCATGACCAACCACCCCAGCAGTTAGGAACTGGTACAAAGTGGCAAGGGTCTCCTGTGCTCCACACGTAGGAGAAACCTGAAGGAAGAGTTCAGATTCCATTAAGTCCAGAAAGGTATTTTACTGGGGACAGTACAATTGGTAACTGCAAAACCCTATGTTAAAAAGTCAGCAAGTGTGAGACAGAGAAGTTGGCAGAACACTTCCCTGGTGCTTGCTTTTTCCACAGTAGACTTTGGAATAGGTATAGTCTGGAATAGACTGTCAGATTTAAAAAAAAAAAAAAATATATATATATGCAAGTTCTTTTTGCCAATTGTTGAAATAAATGGCTTTTACTTATATTTCTTAGTAGTATAAATATAAACTATGTTCTTGTTGGGCTTAGGATTCTTCTATAGTAGGAGTCTGTGACTTGTTTGTGATAAATTCAACAATGAATAAACAGCACACACACACTTTACTTGTTTTCAAGTAATATATATTCAGAACAAGTTAAACGTATGTACAACAAAGTCTTAACACTATAGAGATTACAGGCATATCATAAACACTATTTATATAGTTCTCTTCTTCTTGTCAAAAGTCCACTTAGGCTTATTCAATTACTTTAGAATTTCAGTTGACAAGTCCAAATATCTTCTTTATATTACTATCGTACTAGTATTCTGTGTGTGATTCACTTACAGTTGTGGTGCAAGTTACTGTAATTCGTTTGGTCTTCTTTCTTCTGAAGACCCTCTGTTCCTTTTGTCAAAGTGTTCCCAGGCTGATTCAATTACTTTAGAACCACTCTTTGACGAAATAAAATTATCCTTCTTATCTTTTTTTTATACTGTTAGTTTCACTAACATATTAAACGTTAGGCCTATGTCAATCGTTAGGCTTATCACATCTACAGTACTTACCTTCACACCAACTATATTCTCTCTACTTTTATCTGTCTAATACTGTCTGTCTGCCACTTCCCTCTCATCTCACACTATTTATATCTTTATTACATAGTCGTGTGGCCACTTTCTCTATTCTCGATACCAATTAGTTTTTAACAAAACCTTCTACAATCATCTGGTTTTAACTATTATTATAAAAAACTTAAAAATAATAAAGTATTCACTCATAAATATAAATTAATCACTAACATTCAAACCAAACAGTCTTTTATATCATGACACAGACAGTTGAATAAATAAATATGGTGAGTTCCTAGTAAATGAAAAAGGGACTCTGAAAGAGAAATAGCACACATTATTCACAAAGATGGTGGGATGATTGGAGAATGGCAATTTGTGGAAGTCAAAAACCACCAGAAGGAGTAGAGAAGGAGATAAATATATGGAGAGTGCTCACATACCCATCTGGAGAAGCCTAACCAAGGGCCAGCAAAGAAATGATGGAAGAGTACGAAAACAGTGATGAATCAACCGCAAAGAAACGAGAAAGAGTTTGCAAGCATCCACATCCTGAAACAAACATGCCAACTGAAGTAGCTGATGGACCCATCCAATAAAGGTAGAAGGAAACAGTTCCTTGGAAAAAAAAGAGAGAGATTCCAGGGCATGGACAAATGAAGACAGGGATCGTGAAAGGGAAAGGTCGATAAAAAAGCACACCAAACAGTCCAACAGGATACAGGAACCGATCTGGGTATGAATGGTCCAATATGTGAGAAACAAAAAGAAGGAAGACAGAAAAGAAGTACTGTTTACCATCTGAGTGGACAAAATCTAAGGAAGGGAAAGATGGTCCAGGGAGGGGAATATATAAGTTCAAAGGAAGATAGTGTGACAAGAATCTACAGGATAGATATTTGAATGGCAGTAATTGTGAGGGAGAGAAAACAAAACCAGAGAAGAGAGCAGTACAAAATGTAGGAAGGCAAAGGCACAAACGAGACATGCTCAAGATTGTGCAAAACTCCAGTAAGGACACAGTTTGGCAAGGAAGTAGGTTCAAAGATGATGGAGGAGAATGAAAGAATGGAACAGAGTGGAGAGGGCAGGGAAAGAAACCCCTACTGGTACTGGGAAAGAAGGGCCACTCTACAACCAGCAAAGGAGGAGGCCAACAACCTATCAAGGAATGATTAGAGAAACAAAAAGGCAGAAAAGGTGGTTCACAGAATGAATGTCAGGAGGAAAGGGGTGGCAGAAGTAACAATAGCAAGACCCACCACCAACATTTATAGACAGACTGTGGAAAAGCGAGAAAAAGTGACAAGAATAACGGCACATAAGCGGAGAGTCCAGTCCAATAGGCAACAGAATGAGCACAGTTCCTGTGTGAAGATGGATGGAAGATATCCCATAATGAAGAAACAATGCATGAGAATGAATCAAGAGAGAGGAGAAATTGAGGAGAGTAAGGGAGGGGCGAATGGCAAGTGGGCCAAGGCAGAACTAGTCAATGAGACCATAAGAGAGGAAGCCTGGTGTAGAGAAGGGTGGAAAGGGCATCCAAGAGGGTCATGTCCAACCAACAGTAAGCCCCATGAAAGACCAGAGGTGTAAAGACCACACTGTTGATAGAATGTGGATTGGTCGAGAGAGAGGAGGACCACTGCTAAAATGTAATCACCTGGTAAATGACATGTAAGAAGACTAACCTGATGAGGATGGGCCCACAAGTGTATGTATAATGCCCAAAAGCATAAGGCCCTAGAATGAAAATCTCATGGATGGATGGATGGAGCAAGAAATGACAGGAATAGACTGAGTGGAATATGACCGAGTGACCCACCAATAAGGATTGGAATTGGAACATTCCCAATGAATAGCCAGAAGGATGGTGACATAGAATTGGTACCTGTTCAGCAATCAAACATCAGAATTTCTTCCCACAATCACAGAGGGAAGGACTGAAAAAGGATGTCCAGATTGAGGAAGTTAAATCAAACACTGACATGGTCCAGTCACTACAACAATTCTTGAGGAGAGACTCACAAAAGAGAATAATGGACTCCAAAAAGAAATCCATTGGTCCACAAGGTAAACTGTAGGAGACACGAGTGCATGCTCCAAAGGAAAATGAGGTTCCATGGAAGCTAGAGGCCCCAAATGCAAAAGAACCTGTCATGCAGGTAGAGAAAGAGAAGTGCAAAGTCAAGTGGCCAGACACACCATAGTTTGGCGAAGAAGAAATGGCCAAACTTGGTTGAGAAAAAAAGGAAGAAAATGCCCAAAAATACCATAAATTGAGAGGGCATGAGAAAGCAATGAGATCCAAGGATAAGATTCCCTCCAACAAAGGAGTCACTGTAAAAAAAAAAGGAGGTAGGAAAAGTGATAAAAACCAAGAATGGGCTAACAGAAGTAAATTGTCCAATAAAGAAATGCCAGCTCTATGCTGTGAGTATAGAAAACAAATTGCTTCATAATATCAAAGAATACAAGAGGAACCAATGCCAAGGTGAAGGGAAGAGCAAGAACTGGGATGATCTAAAAAATACGGACAAAACATACAAAGGAAGGACAGGCTGAGAAAGGCGTGGAGGAAGGTGCTGGGCACATCGACCATGGCTGACCACAGACCATGTAAAAAAGATCATAGATGGGGGCAAAGAGAAGCAAAAAGGAAACTGAGAGAAGAGAAGTGAGGAAAGAGACCAAAATAGAAAAAATAAAAAACTGTCAGTGGGAATTGAGATCAACAGCAGAAGAAAATACCCATATGATCATATGTATATGATAGTCACTGACAATAAGAGTGATGAACTATATGTCTGTACGAGGGAAAATGAGAAAAATAGGAAGGCCTGGAATGTGGAAACAGATGAGGAATAGGAGTAAAGGGCAAGGTCAAGAAAGAAGAAAAATCTGGGAAGAGAACAGGGACAGAAGCCACATAACAATAATCCAGATTACAAGGAAAAAAAACTCCAATGAAGACAATAGGGTATAAAAATGGAGCCAGATGAACAATAATTACACAAGAAAAAGAAAGGAATATGTTAAAGAGCACAACAAGTCCCAACAACAGGGGAACAAAGGATGGTGGGACAGAGCAGAAGAAGTGGAACTGGAAAACAGAGAAGGGAAGAACATCTACGGATGTTCTTCTGAAGCATGTGGTATTTCACAGCACGTTGAACAATGGTTGTAATGACCCTGAACCATAGTAGAAATAAGGCCTAAGTGTGAACCAAGCCATTCAATGAGGACCAATCATAAGTCACCATTTTTGAGAATGCAAGATAAAAGTTGAAACTTTTGAAACAAAAGCCAAAGTAAACAAAACGTAAATCTCAACAAATTGAACTCAGACAAGAAAACCAAACACGTCTGATCAATACAATGCCAAGGAGAAGGATGTAGTTAACACTAGTGCAAATGCACAGGGGGGGAGTTATTGCACATGGAAGGATGTCACTCTTTGTCGCATGGTTATGTAATCATGCATTAGTGCAATTCACGTGAAATTAGACGAGAGTTGTCTCAAGGCTAGTGGTCTGCCAATCTCTTTGGCAGACATGTGAGAAAGATAAGTAAATCTGTGTGTGGAGGCGAGATATTGTCTCAGAACTGATAACTTGTTTACACTAAGTTCTGTTGCTGTGGTTAATTGCCTTTCACATAGTACATTCAGAGTTATAGTATGTATAATTTCATGACATGGTGGTTATAAAATCGGTCAAAATGACTGAACCTGTATCCTCAATATTGTCAAGCAGACTGTCTTAAGACATCTAACTAAAGATACCATTGTAAAGTAAAATGCCTTAAGACATCTAACAAGATAACATTGTACAGCAGATTTACTTACAACAGCTAACTGAAGATAACATTATAAAGTTGATTGTCTTAAGATAACTCAGGATAATGGTGTAAAATAAATTATCTTAAGCGATTTTAAGTCAGAAACTTATCTTACTTTTGGACAAATGAAACCTGACATTATTGTGCTCCAAAAAGTCCAGTTTAGCAGAAGCTCCTTTTGGTGCAGAGTCACTAGCATCCACTTCCAAAAAGTGAGGATTGTGGTCGCTGTCCACTTCCAATTCTGTTTCATGTTCTTCAACCAAATCCTGTTTGTCAGTTTTGATTGAAACTCTAGACTGTCTTCTAAAAATAACAAAAACAAAGGTTTATTAACTTAAGGAGTACAACATACTTTTAATGAAACTTTTGTTTTTATTTAAACTGAAAGATGGTATTCTAATTCCACTTAATTTACCTTTAATGTAAAATTCTTACATTCCTATAATAATATTTCTATTCTTAATTCACCTATTTTTATTAAAATAATAGTTACAGTTGAAAATTGTGTTTTGTTGAATTTCATGCAAAACTACACTAGGGCTAATTTGGAAGTGAGAAATTAGATGAAAGGCAGCTAGTCAACACCACCCACTACCAACTCTTCTCATGCTATAGTGAGATTTGAACATCATTTTTATAACACACCCAAAGTGTAGAGCATGATTTTTTCTTTTCAGTAACAAGATGCAAAGTGTAACTCATATGTACATTTAAAATTTTACAAATAAAACCATTTACAAAAGGAAAATTGGCAAACATTCGGTAGTTTTCAATTACTGACAGCCAACTACTTTTACAAATATATAATAGTCAGCTCAGAAATACTAAAGAATCAAAGGGATTCAACTTTTAATTTACGCTGGCAAAACAAACACAATGAAGCCATTTTACCTTCCTAGCTGGAGACCCATTTCTTTGATCTTTTTTTCTAAGGCACTTTCTAGCCTGCTTTTGGAGAAGGAGTATTCAAGAATAAAAGCCTCTAGTACAAATGCTGTAAAAATGCTAGCAAACAAGGAAAAACAAAACATTTCTGATAAGTTGTAAAGCTAATTAAACAATCATTGAGGGTGTTAAGAGAAACATATACAGGTTACATTTTTTAAATTTCCAGTATTCTTTAGTTGAACTGCATGTGTGTTATCTAATATCAGATTCTAAGACAAATCAAAATAGTTCATAAATAATTTAATCACCAAAAATATATAAATTTAGATTTTGCATATCAAGAAGTGGAAAAGACAAACTTTACTAAAACAAAATATGTAAACTTCTTTAGTTTAGGAACTCTTTGGTACTTTATATTATTAAGAAAGAATTATTTGTGTTTGTGTGTCTATATATATAAAGCAAGCTGCCCATCTGTACAGTGCCATGTTTTAGTGAAGAATTGGTTGAATCAACTTGAATAAAATTTGATAATGGAACACAGGTGGACACCCAGGAGTTCGAATTTAAATGGATAAAAAATCAAATAAATAGTTTGAGTTTTGTAGTCAGTAGCAAAATATGTGAAGCCAGTACAATCAAAAGTGATACTTAATGCTGCCTTAACATTGGCTCCATTGCATCAGATAAACAGTTCATGTGCTACAGCTCAAAACAGTGGCTAGGGAAGGCCCAAGCCCCAATTCAAAGCATTACTTTTTAAGGCAGAGTACATTTAATGGTATAATGATAATGCAATCATTATAAGTTTAACCTATCAGAGGTTGATCATACTACTTGGAAAAGTAATAAAAAAACATAAATACATTATCACAATTTAAAAATTTGGATTTGAGATTACATTTAAATTTACATTTTATATCCATGTAGGTGGAAGAATCAACATAAGTTAAGTACAGAGCAAACTTATAAAATTAATAGCCAATTAACATTTTATGAAAGGGTGATTTTATTGGGTAAAATTTAAAATGAATTATGGTTCTCGCTTAAAAAAATCCCCAACTTAATATTTATTGAACTTTTAAGAGAACTGTATCTGAGAAAATCTTTACTTTTAAATGGATGATATTCATTACACAATTTAAAAATCAGTTGTCTGATTAGAGACAAACTTTACATTAAAAATTATTTCTTTCATTTAATAACGTGCAATTATTTAAAAACTGCTAACAGACTTTAAGGTACCCTAAAATAATCATGACAAATAAACATTACAGCTTGGATTCCATCAAATGGATTAAACAAATGTCTTTATTTAACAAAATAAAACAAAAATTCTACTTACTTCAGGACTATAATGACACATGTTAGATGAAATATGAAAAAGTAAAGTCGTGCAAACTTGCCTGTCACTAACACAAACCCACTAGTCAGAAGTTTTTAGAGTCAAGAAAACTACAAAAAATTATTTTATATCCTTGTGTATCTTAAAATTTAAAATATCAGAACCAAAAAACATTAGAACCAGAAACTGTATGTGTATGTATGTATGTATGTATGTATATGTAATATATATATTAATCATGGTTAGAAAAAAAAATTAAAAATACATCAAGAAATTTTATAATAAATGTATATGTTCTACTTTTGTTATTTTATCAATTAAATTTTTTTCACTTTTGATGCTTGAAATGAAGTGAATTAAATGTTTAAAGGATTCTTCCAAGTTAATGATATATTTAACAAAAAAGGATATCATGCCACTGATTAACAACCATTAGTTCAAACAGGACCACCATGGAGTTCATTATGTTGTTAAAGTTGTTACTGCAATAATGACTGGTATAAAAATTTGAGTTGTTAAGTTTTGGATTTCCACAATAGAGTAGAGATGGATCTAAGGTGGAATCATATCCAAAATACTGAATCTTATCCTTGAAAAGTTCCATACCAATGATGGCAAACACATAATAAACAACCTAATGATGTTGGGAACAGAAGAGAAACAATTACACAAGCTTAAGGGCATATTATCTAATAAAAACTAACATTAAAACAACATATCTTCTGTTATGTAAATTCATTCAAATTTTTAACCAGCAAATGTTGTTGTTTGTTTGTTGAATTTTGTGCAAAGCTACACAAAGACTCTGCTGTCTCTAATTTTGAAGTGATAGACAACATAGAACATAGAACATTTGGCATACACTGCCAAATCTTGTGCTATTTTTTACCAATGTATAATGAGATTGAGATTATAACACCCAATGGCTGAAAAAGTATACTAGTTCATTTAACTTAAATGCATTCTACATATTAATTTTGAAATTAACACTAACATTAAACAAAATAACCTTAATTACGTAAGCTTGTTTGTCAGCTATATTCTATAAAAAAAAATTAAGTTAAGCTAAAGAGTTATCTTTAAATTACACAACTCTAACAAAACTAATTACTGTTCCCCAGATTATCTAAAATATAAAGTAAAATGGAAAACAAAATTAATAAAATAAGACATAAATATGTCTATTTGAAAATTTACATTATGTAAGGCCAAGATGGCAAATTACAAGATTATAAAACTGACAAGAAAAATGATCAAATCTTAGTCAAAATATTAAAACAAATTATAGAGTGTATGAAGAATTCATGTTCCTCATTTCTTGATCATAAGTGCCCTCAACTTAGAGAAAGTAAAATATTTCATACAAATATTTCAAAATGTTGGATTAAATGCAGTACAAGGTCACGTATTTAGAATTACTCAGAAAATATAAAACGTTCATGTAAAAAATAAAATAAACTGTAATAAAATATATCTAATTAAACACACTCAGGTAGATGTAGTTACTAATATGAGAATTGATAGTTATTAACATAGAAAATCTGTGATTAAAAACTTACAAAAAGAACACCTCCATACGTTAAAATGGAAGGTCCCAAGTTCATTATAGTCACCACGATAACTTGAAACCTGAAAACAATTCACATTTCACATGCAAACACAAGAAAAATAAACCAAAAGCAATGAAGAAAATGTTAACGAAAGTAACATAAATAACAAGCAATACATAGGAAAAAGAAATATATATAAACAAATACAATAAATATCTTTTGAATGAAAACATTAATAAATAATTCAAGAAATAAAATCTCTGGCCATTCCATCCTTCCAGCATAATTTAAATACACAAAATGATTGCTGGAATAAAAGGAAAATCCTTTCATAAAAACTGTTTACAGCATTATAAGAATAAATGTGTCATTTTTATGTTCAAGTGACAGCATAAATAAATATGATATTGGCCAAAAAAGTTCTTAAACCATTTAGATCCCAAAACATGACAGTCAGGTTTTACAAAACACAATTCAGACTTACCTTTCTATGCCACCAATGATTTTCACCAACCTCAATACTCTTAATACCATAAGAATGTCCAAAGTTCGATTCTTTTCATCAGCTGAAAAAAGTACTGAAGGTTACTTAAACAAAGTAAGGTATTTAAAAAGTATTAAAAACTAAAACTTTTTTTTTCTTTTTCAGATACTTTGATATGAATCTCTCTTAATCATTTACAATTAAATATCAATTTTATGTAAATGAAATATAATTGAAGAACCAATACTAAAACCAAAACTGTTTGTTTTGTATTTTAAAACAAAGTGTAACTCTATCGTCATTTAAAACAGTACAATGTTAGATGGATACTGGCACTATAATGATACAGAAACAATTTCATTGCATCTTGTACTTGGAATACCTTTCTATTCCAAACATAAGTAATAAAAGATTTTGTGTACATCATATTAATTAGTGAAAGAAGTTCTAAATGTATTCTTTTGTGGGTATTTTCAAGGCAATACTTTGGAGAATGTGAACTATTTTAGGTATTTTTTTTTAATAAAAATAACAAAACACTTTCTGTAAAGAGAACTAATTATCTAAATTAATTACATTAAAAACAACTGACACTTATACATATCAGTTTTTATATAATAAATGATCATCTCCTACTGTGTGATCTGGACAGAATCTAAAATCTTAATCAAGATCACACAACACTGTCAACAGCTACTGCTTGACTTTGCCAAAATATTAGTATCAGTAATCACCTGTCCGTGAACACTATCACAAATACACATTACCTTCTGCAAAGACTCTTGATTACTTTTGTACTTCAAAAAAAGAAGCAAACAATTACATCCACTTTACTGAAGTTCTGTTATCTTTCTACAGTTGCACTGAAGTTGTCAACTTCTTAGTAAAAGTGGTCAAGAAATATGTAGTAGAGTCTGATGTACTTTTGACAAAACTAGCTTAATAATCAATTACAGCATTGAGTTGAAACATAACTACAGAGCAAGATTTTAAATAAAGATTTAAACGAAAGTAGGAAAAATATGCAAGAAAATTGCCTATTAGGTTTTAAACTGTCCAAAACTCGAAATAAACCATAATAACTTGTGTTATTTAAATAACTGGATGACTCCCAAAAACTATGACTGTCTTTTGAAAATGGAAAAGTGTGTATATATACATTTGTAGATATAAAATTGGGTGAAAAAAACTAACATCCTGGAAAAAGGTCTGAAGATACAGTTTGCTCACACACTTATTTATTAGAAAGCTTAGGAATTTATTTTCATCACCAAAACATGAATTTCATTGAAGAAAAGATGACAGAGAACTAAACTATTCTTTGATTCACTACTTCTGCTGCAGAAGACTATTTTTGCCGAATTTACAAATCATGAGTGTTGACTGGAAGAGCAAAACGAATAAGTATTGTTTTCTAGCCACTTGTGTATAATTTTAAAATAATAAATAACACACAGTACTAAATAGATACACAATTAAAAACATTCCTAATTCAGGCCAATCAGTAGCCTTCCAGTAGAATATGCAATTACGTGTTTTGATAAAAAGTTTAGAAAAAAAAACGATCTTTATAATAACACCAGATATTAATAAAAGAACTTTTTAATTTAACCAACGTTTTGTCTTTGTCGTTTCATCAGGGTTAGTACATACAACTGTTTAATATTAGAATATAAAATTTTGAAAGACAACAAAAAAATTAAGCGTTTGAAAATATACTGTTACAAAATAAAACTTCAGCACTTAAAACTATAGATATGATTAATTCAACAATTAATTAAACAAATCCCCTTTTCATCATTGTTATGTTGACTTATATATGGATGTATTTGAAACAAAAGCCATAAGTGGTGGAAAACGTAAACCTGATATCTGGATAAGGTACATTGGTGACACATTCTTGGTGTGGAGATATGGTAATAAGGTATTAGCAGAGTTGTCATGCTATTTGAATATATAATATATAATTTACCTATGAAATTGATTAGAATAATAGTTTGCCTTCTCGAGAGACTTATTGGTAAAAGGGAATGAATAAGGTAATTTAGAAACATCTTTTTATCAGAAACTTTTTTCTGTTTTTATGCCACTACACCATGAACCATGTCATACTGATACACAAAAAATGACTGTGTTTTACACTTATGTTAAAAGAATTTTGAAGATAAAAAATTTTGGACTTAAAAAATGAGTTGTTACTAATGGCATATATAGCAGTTGAAAGAGGATTTAACCTGAATATTGTAGATAGAGCAGTTAAAAATTCATTAATGTGGTAATAATTGATCTAGATCTTACTTTAAAACTTAGTTATGATAAAATTAAAAAGAAATATTTAATTTTGTCATATATTCCAGGTTTAAATACTAGTATATTTAAAGTGTATAAAAAAACAACAAAACCATAGTGAAACCTATAAACAAGGTAAAACACATTTTAAGTAATACCAGAAATAATATACAATTAATAGAAAAATTGTTTGTTTGTTATGAATTTCGTGCAAAGCTACACGAGG